CGCAGGCTCCTTCTGGTGATGCGCCAAGAAGGCGAAATGACAAACACCAAGCTGGAGAGCCCAGGCAATCCTGGAGGTTCTGCTCCCCTGCTTTGCAGAAAAGGAAACTGAGGCCCAGGGCTGGGGAGGGTGGAATCTGTGTGACTGTCTGGTTGGGGAAGGGGCAGGAGATAATAGAGGAAACTGGTGGCACGATGTTAAAGTGCTTGCTGCTCACTCGAAGGCTGGTGGCTGACTGCTGCCTGACAGTACAGATCTGCCAGCCAGGGCGGTTCTACTCTGAATTGAAGGGTTCTGTGAGTCGGAAGGGCTTCAAAAGCAGATCAACAGGAAGGGCTAATGCTCGAGGGCTGCTTCCTTCAATCAGATGCCCCGACGGACGTCCCACTCAGGTGTGTAAGCTCCCCTAGATGCTCCAGACATCCCGCTGAACTGGGGTAAGCTCCCCGAGGTGACCGACAGACGTCCTGCTGAGGGGTGTGAAGCTCCCCTAGGTGACCGACAGACGTCCCGCTGAGGGGTGTGAAGCTCCCGTGGGTGACCTGATGGACGTCCCGCTGAGGCGTGCAGCTCCCCTAGGCTCCCTGCGGCCAGCTGCCTGCCCTCTGCCTCTGGACTTCTGCTTTTCCAGCCTCAGCATTCTGACATCTGACAGAATCACTCCATGCTGGCACTACTATGACACCTGTGCCCACTGGATGCTGGGGCATTTACCTCCCTACTCACGAAAATCAAAAGGGTCCACAAGCCCCCTAAAGGCCCCGAAGGCAGGGCAACAAGGCAGAGCAGCGCCCCAGCTAAGAGGCGCTGTCTGAGGTCTCAGCTCCACAGCAGACACGAAGGACGCTCCCTGCCTGCTATTCCTCCTGCTCTCCTGTCCTGCCAGCACCTGACTGAGGTCAGGCAGGGTCCGAGACTCCTCTAACTCCACTTCCAGAAGGTGCGCTGGGTCTGGAGGGGGTGTCCCAGCAGCGCTCGCCACTCAGTGCCTGGAATTCCACTGAGAAGGCAGGCCCTGGAGCGGTGCAGCATCGCCGAGGGGAGGCTTCACAAAGAGCTGCTGTGCTGTTTAGCTACAGTGAGAATCAGTCACCTGGCCTTGGTTCCGCTGGTTAGCTCTCACAGCTGGTGACAAGACAGCCCTGTCAGTGTCCCTTCGAGAAGCCTCCTCTGAGCCCGCGTGGAGCTTGGGCCCTGCCTGGGTGTCTCCATTGGCACACTGGCCTCTGGCACTACCCCTGCAGCCCACAGTGGTAGGACCACGTTCTGTGGCCTCAATACCTGGGACAGCAGCTGGCACAAGGGCTCACAAGTATACCTGTTGACTGAACTTGATACAGAAATAGCTAGTCTGTATTGAGGACTTCCTGCTGGCTCTGAGGTGGAGGCCCAAGAACCCAGCAGGTAGTGAGCACAGCCTGGACTCACGGGGTCACCATGTCCCTCCACCGCCGGCCGTGAAGAACCTACCGTCAGGGCCTGCACTGCCTCCCATTCCTGCGGGGACTGGATCTTGTGGGCCAGCAATCGGACTGAGATCTGTGGCCTAGAGACAAGAAGACCCGTCACTGCACTGACGCTGGAACCGTGTGGCCAGCCCTCCCTGGAAATGATCTTTGTTTCTCCAGCCAGCCAACCCTCACCTGTCCCCACTCACTTTGAGACTCACCCTTCGAGTTCCTTGTTGATCTGGTCACAGAAGCCAATGATGTATTCCCAATCCTCCTGCCGGTTGGAAGGGTTGGTGGCTTTATCTTGGGGCAGAAAAAAGAAGACAAATGTTAGAAGGAGCCAAGCCAAAAGCCATACCAGCTGCCATCGAGCATTCTGACTCAGGGCGACCCCAAATGTTTCAGAGAAGAACGGCTTCAAAAGTTCCCAACGGCTGACTTTTTGGAAGTAGATCACCAAGTCTTGGCCCTAAGATGCCTCAGGAGGACTTGAACCTGCAACCTTTCAGTCAGTAGTGGAGCATTTAACCAGGACTCAGTTACAAAGAGGGCATAATGGAAAGTTCTCATCACTTGGGCTACGATTTTTAGCATTCATGTGAAGCGAAGTTTGCTTCTAAATTTCTTCTCCAACAGAGAAGCTTCGCTGGTTGGGCCAGGGACTGGCCAGAAGTCTACAAATACCGCTTCTCAATCCAGTTTCTGAATGTCACAAAGGAACGAGGTGACAAACCCTCAGGCTCTGGGAGCCGCCATGTGGATCAGAACCAACAGGACAAATGCAAATAACAAAAATGTTCATAAATTTCCAAATGCTACAGAAATATAATACATAAACTCAGCTATATAAAAACAGGGTTGTTGCTGTTAGGTGCTGATTAGTCACATACGACTCAGTGACCTTATGAACAAAAGATCTGAGCCCTTTTTCTACCCTGCGCCATTCTCACACTTCCTGACACACAAGAGCCTACTGCGGCCGTCACCATGTCAATCCACCTGGTTGAGGGTCTTCTGCTCCTTCACGAACCCTCCACCCTTCCCAACATCATGTCCTCCTCCAAGGAATAGCCCACAGATTTAAGCCTCATGTTGCACTACTGAAAGATGCTATGGGAGATATACTGAATGATCCAGAAAGCATCAAAATATGGTGGAGAGAATACACAGAATCACTGTACCAGAAACAAATGATTTGACACTGAAAAATTTCAGAGGAAGTACCATATGAACAGGAGCCAATGGTAATGAAGGAGGAAGTAGAAGCTGCATTGAAGGCACTGGCAAAAAAAAAAAATAATAAGACCCCAGGAATTGATGGGATCCTAATTAACTTGTTTCAATTAATGGATGCAGGATTAGATGCGATCACCAGTCTGTCAAGGAAATTTGGAGGGCAGCTGTCTGGCCAACCGATTGGAAGAGGTCCCTACTTGTTCCCATCCTCAAGGAAGGGGATTCAATTGAATGTGGACACCATTGAAACAGTATCATTAATATCACATACAAGCAAAATACGCCTGAAGATTATTAAAAAAAACCAGAACAGTACATAGATAGGAAACTGCTAGAAGCTCAACCAGGATTTAGACGAGGCCATGGCACCAGGGATATCATCGCTGATGTCAGATAGATCCTGGCTGAAAGTAAGGAATACCAGAAGAATGTCTATGCGTGCTTTATCGACTATGCAAAGGTCCCCGACTGTGTGGATTCTGACGAGTTGTGGCTGACGCTGAGAAGAATGGGAATCCCAGGCACTCACTGTGCTCCTGAGAACCTACAGCTGAACCAGGAGGCTGCTGTGTGAGCAGAGCAGGAGAGCACCGCATGGTGAAAACTGAGAAGGGGGTCTTCCCCCAAGCAGCGGGGAGGATGGTGGACAGACTGAGCGCACCTGCGGGAAGTAGCCGACTACCTTCCAGAACAAAGAGACGGTGCTGCTGGGGGACACTGGTGAGGAGAAGCTCCCACGTTATCACAAGAACATCGGTCTGGGCTTTAGGTGGCCCATGGAGGCCACCTACATTGACAAGAAATGTCCTTTCACTCGTAACGTCACCATCCGAGGGCGAATCCTGTCTGACGTGGTGATGAAGATGAAGATGCAGACCACTATCATCCGCCGAGACTACCTCCTCCACCACGTCCGCAAGAATGCTTCGAGAAGTGTCACCAGAACATGTCTGTCCCCCAGCTTCAGAGATGTCCAGCCTGGCGACACTGTCACTGCTTGAGCGCCGGCCACTGGGCAAGACCATGCGCTTCAACGTGCTCAAGGTCCCCAAGGCCGCCGGCACCAAGCGGCAGTTCCAGAAATTCTGAGCCAGACATCAGCCCAAATGAAATAAAGCTTTTCCCCCATTTTTAAAAAATAATTATAATGAGCATTTACAGAGATTTTGGATCTCCATTCATTCATTGCTGCACTTTTTTCTCCATTTTTTTTTTAAATAATGAGATGTGAGTGAGTGGGTCAAGGTTGTATTCTTTCTCCAGACCTATTCAATCTGTATGCTGTGCAAAAAATGGGGTTATTAGGTAACAAGCAGGCAGGCATGATTAAGAAATATCCCCTAGAAAAACAAACAGAGGGGACTAGGAAAAATGTAGATGGTTAGAACTGTTGTTGACCATCCAAGTTGACCCCATGTACAGCGGCCCCACGTGACGGAACAGAACTGCCCACTGGGTTGTACTGGTTATAAGCTGTAGGGAACGCTGGCTGCGTAGACTGTAGGGAATTATGTGGCTAATCCAAAGGCAGTGCCTGTCCCTTGGTTCAAATCTACCAGCTGCTCTGTGGGAGAAGGAGGGGCAATCTCCTCCTGTGCCAGCTGGATCTAATTCAACAGTCCACACAAGGGGGGGGGGGAACCCACCACCAAAATATTTCCCATGTGGCCTTCAAAAAAGATCTCGAGACCTAACTATTAATGCTATAATTGTTGCTGTGTATCGTCGAGTTGGAACCGACTGCACTGGGTTTTCAAAGGCAGGAAGTTGCAGGGAGGAGACTGTCCATCTTTGTCCCTCCGGACAGAGGATGGATCTGAAATTGTGCACCTTGGGGTGGGCAGTGCAGCTCCTTACCACTGGGGCTCCCTTTTAATGTGATAGCACTGTTTAACCGGCAGACAATGCCCTCATCATTTGTAAATCTTCACTACCTGCACTGAATTCTCAAGGTTAAGCAGCAGTCTTCTTCCCACAGAGCAGAGGTAAGTTTGGAGGGGCTCTGAGGGGTTAAGACGCAGGCACTACACGCAGAGCCTCCTTATATCTGGTCTGGGTTCTTCTCTCCCCATGTCCCCAGGATCTGGACGCCCGGAAGACATCCTCAGACGAGGGCAGTCAGATGTTTTCTCCTCTGATTCAGATGCAGAGTCTGCCACTTCTGGAAAGCACGCCCTGGCTGTCTGCGAATTTAGGGCTTCAGTTTCTGAAGACAAATCGAAGGCTGAAGACTCACATCCTTTAAAAACACCTGCCTCCCTGCAGCTTTCTACCACGGGCAGAAGCAAAGCACAACAGGGTCCTGTGGGAACGCCCTATTCTCTGTGATATCTTGTGACTTAAGGATCTGTTCAGTTCCCTCTTTCTGTCAGCAGCCCAAACACTGGAAATCATCAGCTCGAAAGCCAAACGTGAACAGGGATCCAAATCCCTCTGCTGGGACTTGAGCTCTGAGGCAGCGGAAGCCAGCACACACTCTGCATGGGCCAGGGCGGTGGCCTAGCAGACGATACCGCCCCACACGCAGCACCTGTCCTATCACAAAGGGGCGATTCTGATGATTTAAGGTCATATCAGGAGGAAAAGAGATGTGCCTGCCCTCAAAATTGAAAAAAAGAATTAATGGGCAGGTCTTTCAAAATGTTAAGCTTACTAGGGAAAGGATTTCATTGAACCCAGAGGAGCCACTTGCGAAGAAATGCCTGGAGATCCCATGTTTATTTCAATGACAACCTCGCTGCCCCCTTCCAGGGACGTCTCCAATTTCTCCCACCAGTTAACCCTCCTCTCAGGTGTCGGCTTGGCTTTATCCTGATCATCCAGATGCTAAACAAAAAATGTGAAACGCACACTCGCGGCCCTCAGGTCAGCGGAGTCCCTCCTCACTGGACCCTGGAGGACGGGGAGAACCGTGCACAGTGTCTCCAGGCCACGCTCTCCGTGGAAGCCGACTGCCCCATCTCCTGGTGGAGCGGATGCACTGCTCCAACTACCAACCTGCGGTCAGCAGCTGAGTGCTTTACCATGGCACCACCACAGGCAGAAAGATCTAGAAATCAGACTGAGGAATCAGCCTGCCTCATGGCTGTGATCCCTGCGGGCAGTCACAGACTCTACAATGTAAGATCTAGCTAGTCTTCTCCACTGGGGACTGACACACACAACCACACACACTGCCACAGATTACACCACAGGCTCAGCAGTGTTCTCCAGACTAGGATAAGCCCTCTAGCACTGCTCCTTCCAAGGATATTCCTTCTACTTCTCAAGTGTGTCCGATCACCTGTTCTAGAATCCACTTTCTTCCCACTTGCTCTGTCTTTCCACTGCAGGATGGGTGGGTGCCACACACTCAGCTTTTCACCACTGTCAACCTCACTTCCGAGTTCTCCAGATCTCCAGTCAGCTCGGAAGACAGCTCGCCCACTGGGAGAATCCCCTGGGGATGATGCTGGGTGACGTGACTCTCCATCCGCCCACCACCTCCCCTCAGGTGCCTGCTCCCTTCCACCAATGACCTCATCCTTCACCTGGGCCGGAGGTGCCGCTGGGGCCTCCCCCACAGACCCCGCTCCCCAGCTCTGCTCTGATGCCTAGTTTCTGATGATGTCTGAGTCTCTTCTGGAAGCCTCGATAGCTCTGTGTCCGTGATTCTAGCTTTCTCATTGTCCGCTTAATTCTATCACTAGCCCTGAATTTCACGGCACCCCAAAAGGCCCAGGAGTGATGGAGGCAGCAGTAGCTGTCACCCATTCCAATAAGGCTCCAGCATCCCAGAGATGAACATGCTGGGTGGCCAAGCAGTTAGAAATAAGCAGAAGAACGGGCAAGGGCTGGAGCAGAGTGAAGAGGCAACCTTTGGTGCAGAAGCCTAGAATCAGAACCCCCGAATCCATGCTCAGCACCTACAGGAAACCCAGAACCAGCCCCTCACGTGCAGGGGACCTGATAAAAAAGGCCAAGATACGGCTTTTATCCTCAGGAGGGAACATGCTTGTAGTGTATGTGAGAAACAGCAGTACATGAAATAAAACCAGATGTAAAACTGGATAGAAGCAG